CCCCACACAATTTTCGTGCAGGGGGCCTCTAGTATCCTATCTAATAATAGAGAAACATGGTAATTAGCCATACCTCCGCTACGCTTCCCATTGGCTAATCAGGGCAATATGCAAATTAACTGCCAACCAAGATGGCGGCCGGCAGCCAGGCAGCTTGAAGCAAACAGGGGGCTTGCTTGCTTCAGTGACGGAGGAAGCCAATGTTCCCCGCCTGCCTTGCCGGCCTCTGAGCTTGCAGTTTAAGAAACATTGTTACAAATATAGAAGCTAAACAAAACCCCAGAAACCTGCTTTCAACCAGCCGGGCTTCAGTCAGCAGGACCGCAACATTGTTTCAATTATAGAACAAACGCAGATCCCTGCCTTCAGCCAGCCGGGATCTCAGAGCTGGAGTGAGCAGGACCGCAACAGTGTTACAATTATAGAACCCAAACAAACCAGATACCTGCTTTCAACAGCCGAGGCCTCAAAGTTGGAGCCAAGCCTCAGAGTTAAAGCTGGCCCAGAATAAAAAAGAAAAGAAAAAAAAGACAGGTTGGGAGCTTCAGTCACCCGCCAGCCTGAAAACAGCCCTCAGCCCCTCACCCAGACTGGCCAGGCACCCCAGTGGGGACCCCCACCCTGAAGGGGGTGTGACCAGCTGCAAACAGCCATCATCCTCTCATCCAGGCTGGCCAGGCACCCCAGTGGGGACCCCCACCCTGATCCAGGACACCCTTCAGGGCAAACCAGCCGGCCCCCACCCGTGCACCAAGCCTCTATCCTATATAGTAAAAGGGTAATATGCCTCCCAGCACCGGAATCAGCTGAGCAGCGAGGCCTCCCAGCACCGGGATCAGCGTGACAGGGGGCAGCAACCAAAACTCCTGATCGCCCTGTGGCTTTGTGTGTGACAGGGGGCGGGGCCACAACCTCCCTATCCGCCCTGTTCTGTTCGTGACAGGGGAAGGCGCCCCAACCCCCTGATCAGCCCTGCTGTGTGTGTGACAGGGTGCGGCGCCCCAACCCGCCCCCCCCCACGGGCCCTGCTGTGTGTGTGACGGGGTAGAGCCATAACCTCCCCATCGGCCCTGCCCTGAGTGTGACAGTGGCGGTGCCCCAACCCCCTGATCGGCCCTGCTCTGTGTGTGACAGGGGGCGGTGCCCCAACCCCCCAATCGGCCCTACCCTGAGCGTGACTAGGGGTGGCATCGCAACCTCCCGATACGCCCTGCTCTGTGCATGACAGGGGGCAGCGCCCCAACTCCCCAATCGGCCCTGCTCTGAGCCCGACCAGGGGCTGCACCAAGGGATTGGGCCTGCCCTCTGCCACCCGGGAGCAGGCCTAAGCCAGCAAGTCATTATCTCCCGAGGGGTCCCAGACTGCGAGAGGGCACAGGCTGGGCTGAGGGACCCCCTCTCCCCACCGAGTGCACAAATTTTTGTGCACCGGGCCTCTAGTATATATATAAAAGACTAAGCGATCAACCATACGTCTGTACATCTGACTAGCTGGTACACATGATGCGCACTAGCAATTTAAAAATAAACATTGACTTGCGCATGTGTGATACATATAAAGCTCTCGAAATGGATATTATTGAAATCTCTCATGAAATGATTTATTATGGATCTATTATTGAAGCTACCTTTGGAAATAGCATATCTGTAGATAATATTAAAAATATATCTAAATGTGTGATTCTCTGTCCTAAAAATGAGCACGTTCATACATTGAATGAATTTTGGATACACTCGATGGAGGTTTTCACACCTATTTGAGTGATGATTCCATCGATTCAACATATGATGCCGAAAAGGAAAATTTTCCCATTGAATTTCTTAATAGTATTACTCCTTTGGGAATGCTGTGTCATAAAATAAAATTGAAAGTAGGTGCAATCATCATGCTACTGAGAAATCTTAATAGTAAATGGGGTCTTTGTAATGGTATTAGATTTATTATCAAAATATTGCGACCTAACATAATCGAAGCTGAAATATAAACAGGATCTGCAGAAGGAGAGGTTGTTTTGATTCCAAGAATTAATTTGTCTGTCTAACACTGGCCTCTTATTTAAATTAATTTGAAGACAGTTTCCCATGATGCCAGCATTTGTGATGATTATTAATAAATCATAAGGACAAACTCTAGACAGAGTAGGAATACTCCTACCTGAACCCAATTTTGGACATGGTTAGTTATATGTTGCTTTCTCTCGAGTTCGAAGAGCATGTGATGTTAAAGTTGTAAATACTTCATCACAAGGGAAATTAGTCAAGCACTCTGAAAGTGTTTTTACTCTTAATGTGGTGTACAGGGAGATATTAGAATAAGTTTAACAAATTTATCAGTCATTGTTTTTATCAATGTTGTTTTTATATGTTTTTGTTGTTTTTATAGCATGCCTTTGTTGTTATATCATGTTGTTATTGTCTATTTATTAATCAATTTATATATTATTTTTATATACATTTTACTAATCTTCTTTCAACTCTGACACTTCTATTACAGAGAAAGGGCGAATAGCGATATTAAAATATTTCTTCTTATTAATTTCCTTTCAATGTGCACGAATCTGTGTACTGGGCTACTAGTTCACCTATAAAATAAGTCATACATTTGGAAATAAGAACATGTGGTGTCATTTAGGCCAAGATCAACTTGTACTGAATTTCTGAGTCTCCTAAATTTAGGTTGATCTGATGACTCTGTATAATCCAGTGGTTCTCAACCTTCTGGCCCTTTAAATACAGTTCTTCATGTTGTGACCCAACTATAAAATTATTTTCGTTGCTACTTCATAACTGTAATGTTGCTACTGAATCGTAATGTAAATATCTGATATGCAGGTTGAGAACTGCTGATATAATCTATGTCTTTCGTAAAGAGCATCAATTATTAATATTTTCCTATTTCCCAAAAGATTTATAATCTTCTGCTTCATTTCTACTATTCAATAACATGCACCTTTATTAAGATTTTTCTTTTCCATTTACAAGGAGCTGTGGCAATATCTCTTGGGGTCGGGAGTGAGACCGCTGCCACTTCCATCTCTCCTGCAGGCCAGCAAGAGAAGGCCAGCACCACACCACTCATGCCCAGCCCAAGGTCACATCTTTCATCCTGGGCCATGTAATTACTTTGGCTCCCGGGATAGCTAGATCATGCAGGGCTGTGATATTCTCTGGACTGGGATAGGCCATGCAGATATAGCTGGTTCTGAATAAGCTAGATTTCTTGGGCAGTTTGTGCCTACAGCCACCCACTACAGTCACAGACTACTGTAGTCAAAGTAGGTTTAGGCTGACTTCTGCAGAGAAAGCCCAACTTTTTGAGGCATTGCTGAAATCCCCCTGGTCTTACCCCACTCCCAGATCTCCATAGCACCATCGACTATACTTCTAACTGGCCTGGACCTAGCTTTTCTGACAGCTGGTTCACCACCTCACTCCAAGGTGCACTGTTCCCCTGAGGGAAGAAAACAAGCCTGCCAACGCTGATTACTGCTCTGGATTCTACAACAAAGACTTCTAGACCAATCAGCAAATTTCCCAAATGCACCAGGTCCCTGAGAGGTTGGTCTAAGAGCTGTAGGTTGGATGGCTGGATTCATTTCTTTTTTTAACTGGCTTGAGGAATGATTGACATACAAAAGCTATAGATATTTAATGTATTCAACGTATTCAACTTAATGAGTTTGGAGATAAGTATACAACCATGAAACCATCATCACAATCAATGCCATAAACATACCTATCACCTCTAAAAGTTTCCTCCCAGTCCCTATGTTATGGTTATTTTTTCCTTTTGTGGTAAGAGCACCATATAAGATCTACCCTTACAGTAAAATTTTAAATAGACAATACTGTTAATCATAGGTGCTATGTTGCACATTATATCTCTAGAACTTATTTTGCATAACTGAAACTTTGTACCCTTTGACCAATACCTCTCCATTTCCTCCTCCCTGTAGGTTGGATTCTTCCTCACTGAGGAAGATGGGGCAGGACTCAGCACACATAGAAGTCACCTGCTAAACTGGAACAATGAGTCTACTTCACAGGTTCCTAAGCCCCAGGAACATCATTCTGGGCACAACCCCATGACAATAAACCAGTAGAAATGCATTTACCTTCCTTTGGAGCGGGAATTTTGGAGTTGACTGATCTGCGCTTTTGTTTCTGAAAAACAAAACATACCACCACCATATATGGCTCTTTTCAATTCTCAAGGGCCCAAGTGCCGTGAAGTCCTAGGCAGTCTCAGAAAACAATCCAGCAAAGAGCCTAAAGCCAAGTGAATCCTCTGGGGCACTGGCTGCAGCCAGATGACAGGCACCTACCATTACATTCACCTGCAGAGGCAGATTGTCCTTCGGGTGTAAGGGAAGAGGCTGTAAGAGTTCTGGGTTTATTGCAGCCACATCATCAAAATCAATCTGCAAGGAGCAAATGAAAGTTTCGATGAAATAACAGCTTTTTCAATTCAACTGCATCTCTGCAACCAAGATTCAGACTTTACCAACTTTAAGTTCCACCAAGTACTAATAGCTATAAACAAATATTTATTCCTTAGCTGTGGTTTACCATCTGGATGTACTGGTTTCCGATTTCCAAGCTATGGTAGATGTCAGTGATGAGAACGAGATGAAGACAGGCAAGCAGTCAGGTAGCCCACGGTGGACTTGGGGTACCTGGTTCCCCTACTGTTCTGTGGGCAGTGGGATCCTGCTGGGCTCAGTGCCCAAAACACTTCTTGCTGGCTGACATGAAGGAGGAAACAAGTTCTAACTGTCCCAGTGATAGGTAAAAAAAAAGGGCCCTTCAGATCTTATGGGCAGGGACATGTTCCAGAGAGCTGCTACCTAACCCTAATCTACCTACATTTTCTAATAGGCCCAGAAACTTCTTCCCCAGTCACAGCGGCCTGCTCATGTCTGCAATGCAGTCACAACTCTAGGTTTACATCACCAGAGTCCTGGAACTCTCTAGGGACAACTCAAACACACTAAGGCAGCGGTTCTCAACCTGTGGGTCGTGACCCCTTTGGGGGTCAAACGACCCTTTCCCCAGGGTTCGCCTAAGACCATTGGAAAACACATATATAATTACATATTGTTTTTGTGATTAATCACTATGCTTTAATTATGTTCAATTTGTAACAATGAAATTGGGGGTCACCACAACATGAGGAAGTGTATTAAAGGGTCTCGGCATTAGGAAGATTGAGAACCACTGCACTAAGGTAAGAGCTTTACCTCCTACTTATTAACTGGCTTATTAAATAATTCATTATGCACCCTAGCCGATTTGACTCAGTGGATAGAGCATCGGCTTGGGGACTGAAGGGTTGTGGGTTTGATCCCAGTCAAGGGCATGTACCATGGTTGCAGGCCCTGTGTGGGAGGCAACCAATCGATGTCTCTCTCACATCTATATTTCTCTCTGTCTCTCCCCCTTCCCTCCACTCTCTAAAAATCAATGGACAGATCCAGAGACAGAGAAGCATTGATCAGACCGTCAAACCTCAGAGGGAAGGTAGGGGAGGGTGGGGGTAAGGGGGAGAGATCAACCAAAGGACTTATATGCATGCATATAAGCATAACCAATGGACACAGACACCAGGGGGGTGAGGCATAAGCAGGGGGGTGGTGGGGCAAAGGGGGGATAAGGACACATATGTAATACCTTAATAAATAAAAATCAATGGAAAAATATTCTCAGGTGAGGATTAACAACAACAACAAAAAATGTATTATGCACAAGTAAGGCAATAGAAAGAGATATTCAAAGATGAATTAAGACATATTGCCCTTCGTTGAGGTCCTGGGGTGGGGGTGGGCTGGAGTGGGTGAATGGGGGAAAAAGGGGGATATAGGTAATACTTTCAACAATAAAGAATTATTTTTAAAAAAACGACATATATCGCCCTTGCCTTCAGTGAGCTCACATTCTAATGGGGGGGAGAGTAGTCATACATACAAAGGGCGAGAAACCAAAGCAGCATGGGATAGACAAGGAAGACAGAACAACTGAATGCAAAAGCTGGCAAATACTTCAGGAACCATATTTCTATCCACTTTTTTTGGACAGCTACAGGCCCTCACTACACATCCCTCCCCCATTTCCGATCCCTAAACTCCAGACAGCATAAACATGGGAAACCAGAGCCCTAATCCTAGTTCTGACACTAACTGATTTTCACATTGATGATTAAGGGTGAACATCCCAGGAGGAAAGAATAAGAGTGTGAAGGCAGCAAGGCCCCAGGCATGGTCAGAGTGGGGAGCTGCCCCACTCGCCCCTGGCACAAGACATTTTGTGTGATACAAAGAAAAACGTTGATTGGGATCAGATCTTGAAAAGCTTTGGAATGCCTCACAAGAAGTTTGGACCTTACTCTACAGGCAATATTGAGCTGGAGTGAGACCCAACAAGAGCTGTATTTCTAAACAACAACAAACCTAAACAAAACAAATCATAAAGAACTAGCAGCTGGTTGAAAGCATTTTTAGAAACTTCTTTATTCAAGGGCAGATAATGTAAAGTATTCGATTCGTTTATTTCTCCAATACAGCATATAAATATCTGCATACCTACCATAAGGTGCTACCCTAAGCAAGCCCTGTACATTATCTCATTAAGCTCCATGCAAGAGGGCCCAGGTCTGTCTCACCCACACCTCTATCACCAGCACCAAACACAGTGTCCGTCTTTCTTATTGTATTGTATTTTCTCTTGTGTGGCACTTTGAAACCTGCACAAAAGGATTTGTTGACTAAATCCTCACACCAACCCTATGAGGTAGATATTATCATCCTCATAGCTGAGGAAACTGAATTTTTCTAAAAGGGGCAGAAACATGCCTGAGAACATATAAAATAGGGGCAAAGACAGACTAGAACCCAGGTTTTCATACTCCTAGCCTGGTGATCTCTTCCCCACACCTCAATGCCTCTAAAGCATAAATGTCTTAGTCACAGCTCTCCTCTTCTCAAAATTCTTCCAAGGCACCCCACTGGCTACAGAATAAAATCTCAAACACCTTAGTGCCAGAGATGAAGACCCAGCAGCCGGAGCCTTCTACGGCTTGCAGCCAGCTTCTTCATTAGTCCCCATGAGGGCCATCTGCTAAGCTTTCCTGCCACTCCCACAAGCCCAGCTCATCCTCAACGAGTTCCACCTCTGAGCTGCCCTAGCACTATTCACCTGCACCATTTATCACAAGTTGCCTTGTTATGTGGTGTTTCAGAAACATACTTTTGTCTTCTCAACTAGGTTGTCAATTCTGCTCCCCAAACAATTATCATATGCATTCAGAAGCTAGCTTGGGTGAGCATGGTTTTAGGATTCTGTACAGTTTGCTTTCTACAAACACCAGAAATTGTTGATTGCTGCAATTCAGAATAGGCCTTACTAAATAAAATCCCAATGCATCCAAAGAGGATCATGTTTGAGATCAGGAAGGACAACACAGCATCAAAAACAGGCTCTCAGTCCGGCTGGTGTGGCTCAGTGGTTGAGCAATGACCTGTGAACCAGGAGGTAACAGGTCAATTCCAGGTCAGGGCACATGCCCGGTTTGCAGGCTCAACCCCCAGGGGGTGGGTGGGAGGGTGGGGGGGTGTAGGAGGCAGCCGATCAATGATTCTCTCTCATCATTGATGTCTCTCTCTCTCTCCCTCTCCCTTTCTCTCTAAAATCAATAAAAATATGTTAAAAGAAAAACAGGTTCTCGCCTGGCCAGCATGGCTCAGTGGTTGAGTGTTGACCTATGAACCAGGAGGTCAAGGTTCGATTCCTTGTCAGGGAACATGTCCCGTGTGGGGTGTGCAGGAGGCAGCCAATCGATGATTCCCTCTCATCTATCTCTCTCTCCCAGTCAGGGCACATACAAGAAGCAACAAAATAAAAGAGAAACAAACAAAGCAACCAATGAATGTACAAGTAACTGGAACAACAAATGGATGCTTGTTTCCCTCTCTCGCGCCCCCTATAATCAGTCAATAAAAAATGTTTTAAAGGCTCTCACCAGTCCCATTTCCACACAGATCTTTAGGTTGAACCTACCTCTTTGCCCTTTGTGGCACCTCCTTCTATCCATTCCACTGAAACACAGGCTTTCTCCAAGTCCACAGTCCTTACGTTGGCACTGTGAATTAGGCCTAGAATAGAAAAAGGCCAGCGTTACCCATCCTTTTCACTTTAAGATCCCACAGAGAGCCGGGGCAGCGTGGCTCAGCGGTTGAGCATCGTCCATGCACCAGGAGGTCCCGGGTTCTATCCCGGTCAGGGTACATGTCAGGGTTGTGGGCTCAATCCCCCGGGGGCCGTGCAGGAGACAGCTGATCCATGTTTCTCTCTCATCCATGTTTCTCTCTCTCTCTCTCTCTCTCTCTCTCTCTCAAAACCAATAAAAACATATTTTAAAAAGATAAAGATCCCACAGAGACTCTCAGTGTGGAGCTGACCTGAATGAAACGACAGCTGCCTTTCTTTCTTTTTAACAGGAGACTAACTTCCTGGCACTTCACCCTTAGCACATCCCATAGTGAGGCGGGCAGAGAACAAGTCTTAAAACCGAGCTGACGGGGATAAGGATTCAGCCCCCCCCCCCAAAAGAGCCTACAAAGTGGGGCGAAGGTCTGTTTGGGGAGTCACTCTAGTCCTTGGGTGAACTGTCCCTTAACACAGCGCTGAGGCTCTAGCGCCCTCGGGTTCCCCTACCTTCATCCTGACGGTTCTCCTAATGACGAGAGAGAGAGAGAGAGAGAGAGAGAGAGAGAGAGAGAGAGAGAGAGAGAGATAACGAACGGAACAATCTCCTGAAGAGCAGGGATCTGTCTGGTTACACTGAGCCCCAGCGCCGGACACACTGCAGGTGCGCAGTATTTACAGGGGAGCAGCGGGCGAGGAAGCCGAGGTCCCTGCAAGACCCGGGCAGTCTCGGAGAACTGTGGAGAGGAAGTGACTCTAGCACCGCTAACTCCCCCGGAAGGTCCCCCGGCCCCGAGGAGCCCCGCCTCTCCCAGAGGACCCTAGGGGTCCAACCGCCAGGCAGGGCCCCGCCCGGGTGGGGAAGACGGACTGCCAGTGCACAGACCCGGATCTGTGGTGAGGGGCATCCCCAACGGTGTCTGGGGCCCTGCCGTCTGGGGAGGGGCAGTCATTTCAGCCGCCTCAGAGCCCAGGGTCCCCCGGCCTCGGGACCCCGCCCCTCACCATTACTGCGTTGGATCTTGATGTCGAGACCGGGAAACAAGCGGGCCTGAAGCGTCGAGTCCATTGGGCAGTCAGTCGGCAGATGCGCCGGGAAAAAAAAGCACCGAGATCCTCCAACTCCCCTAACTCGACGAAGTCCTAACGCCCGTAAACCGCCGCAGTTTAAACCCCGCGCGCCAGCGTCCCTGCGCTTCGTCACGCCGTCGCCGGCCTCGCTTCCGCCAGTCAGCCGCGCCCCGCGGAGCCTTTTGGGAAATGTAGTTCCCCGGCGGTTTTCCGGCGCCTGGGACCGCCCACTTGTCCGGCAGCACCTCGGAGCGCAGGGCCTGCTGGGAACTCCGGGAGCCTGTGGGCGGCTGTTGCTCCTTCCTGGCTTTACTAGTCTATCCCAGGGCTCCTGGACCGCTGGGTTCCCCAAACTGGGAACTTCCGTGGCGGGTGCGGTGTCTGAGCGAGGGCTCTGGGGACCTGCAGGCCTCCGGCTCCTTCAGCCACTAGCTCAGTGACGCAGACAAGCTAGAAACCTGACTCGGTTTCCTTCTTTGCACCATGGGGAGCATGTTTCCTCCCGCGGGGAGTTACTGCTGAGTTTAAAGGAGGAACTTAGGTTTGAAGTGCGTGGAAGACACAGATTCACTAGATGTTGTGTCTACCACGTGCTAGGCATGGTGCTAGTTGCTAGAGGTATATTGATGTTTAGAGAAGCAGAGGGCTACCGCTCGCTCAGGCAAGTAGCAAAGCCCCCAAAGTTCTCATGGCCTTTATTTGGGGAGCACAGCAAATAACAATGGAGTACAGCAAGTGACAATGACTAACAGGCATGCTTATGAGATCATCTGAGCTAAGTTATACATTAAACTATTAATTTCCTATGTTATACAAAGACCCTTTCCACCTGCAGCAGTGCACCCTCCCTTGAACTTTCCATGCCCTCATGGACTATTTATCACCTCAAGGAAAATTCTGCCTCTGAACAATAAGTCTTGCTTGCAAGACTTTGTTCTGACGTGGCCGCTTGCAGGCCCCCGCCTTTTCTTGGCAGAACGTCCTCTTCTAGTTAACTTCATTCCACTTGACAAGCTACAGAGGTAGTTCTTTTGTTGTTGTTGTTTGTTTGTTTGTTCTGGAGATAGCAGTTCTTGCTCTCCTTGACTTAACATCTATATGCCTAAGCAACCATTTGACCATTTAACCGGTAGCTATGATGTGCACTGACCAACAGGGGGAAGACGCTCAAAGCACAGGCATGGAAACATGGAACAGACTGATGAATCTCAGAGGGAAGGGGGAAGGGTGGGAAGAGATTAACCAAAGATCTTACATGCAAACCAGAGTCCCAGTGCATGGATTCATGCACCAGTGGGGTCCCTCGGCCTGGCCTGCGAGGATCAGGCTGAAACCAGCTCTCCGACATCCCCCAGGGTCCCGGATTGCGGCGAGAGGGCACAGGCCAGACCGAGGGACCCTACCAGTGCACGAATCCGTGCACCGGGCCTCTAGTTCTAATATGAACAGAGGGCAAAAAGAAGTAACAAGCAAATTACGGATTGTGGTAAGTGCTCTGAGGGAAACTGAGAGCTGGACTAGAGAATAATAGAGGAACCTACTTTAGGTGAAGTGGCCAGAAAAGAAATCTTTGAAGTGATATTTAACCTGCGTCTAGAGAACTAGGAGGAACAGGCCCTATCAGAGTGGAGGGCACGGGGGTGGAGAGCTTCCAGATGATGATTTGAGAATGGTGTGTGCAAAGGCTCTGAGGCAGGAAAAACCTTGGTTTGGAAGAACCCAGAAGCCAGTGGGCTGGTCGGCAGTAGGTGAAGTCATTTATCATCTATCTGGTAGCTTGTAGTAGAGATTTTTGGCTTTTATTCTAATGAGAAGTCATTGAAGTTTAAGCAGAGTGACAAGATGTTAGTTACATTCGGTGTTTTGCGGATCAGACTTGCTGCTGTGTGGAGAACTGATTTGAAGTGAGAGCATTAGCAGGCCAGAGAGGATGCCTGCCTAGCCTAGGTAGTGACCGTGGGATGCAGCGAAGAGAAAGGACTACAGGTGCATCTTGTTTGGCAAGTGGAGTGAATGGGTCTTTGTCGATCGGTTTGTGAAAGGATTTCAATCTAAAATGAAACCAGAGGCCCCAGCCGGCGTGGCTCAGTGGATAGAGCATTGGCCTGTGGACTGAAGGGTCTCAGGTTCGATTCTGGCCAAGGGCACATGCCTGGGTTGCGGGCTCCATCCCCAGTGTAGGGTGTGCAGGAGGCAGCCAATCAATGATTCTCTCTCATCATTGATGTTTCTCTCTCCTTCTCCCTTCCTCTCTGAAATCAATAAAGAAATATATTTTAAAAATAAAATAAAATAAAATGAAACCAGAGGACGTGAAATGGAGAATCTCACCTGTGCCCTCCGAGGAAAGGAACTTGAGAACGGAGAGACTGATTTCCCATAAATGCCTGCTTTACAGAAGATGGAGACTTCTCTCCGGAACAGTGAACACCCACTAAGAATCCCTCCTCTTCCTCAAGTCAGTGAAATGACTGCTGGGACTCTGGCTGAATTTCCGCCCCTTTGTGCTGCTTGCCCATATATACATCCTGTCCCAAACCCTCAACAGACTAGCCTGTAGCTTGCTACAGCATGGGTTTCCAGAACTGCAATTCCTCTGCTGTTCCCCAAAACTCCATTTCTGGTCATCTGAGTTTGCTTCACTCTACCTCATTATTTAGGTTGACAGTTTTGGTGTGGGGGTGAAGGAGGAGTAATCATGGATGACTCTTGGTTTCTGGTGAGAGACACTGAGTGGATAATGATCCATTTTGAAATAGGGGTGAAGGAAACAGGTTGGGGGTGGGGTTTCATTTTGGTCGTTTAGTCAGATGTCCGGAAGACTTCAGAGCAGAGATATCAAATAAGCAGCTGGATATATAAGCTGGGAGTTCAAGGAGAGATCAAGGCCAGAGACAGAGGTTTGCAGTCATTTTATGACATTTGGAGTGAGGGAATTGGAGGAGAATCCTAGGGAGAGAGTGTAGTTGAGATGAGAAGACCCATAACTGAGCCATGGGGCATGCCAGCACTTTGAGGCAGGGCAGAGGAAGAGGAGCAAAGGAAGTGAGATCAGGGGTTGAAGGGATGAGGAAAACCAGGGCGTGGAAGCTTAGGAAGAAGTGAAGGAAAAAGTAACTGGAGAGCTGCACAGAGGGCAGATAAGATGAGGACATAGGCCCTAGCTGGTTTAGCTCAGTGGATAGAGCGTTGGTCTGCAGACTGAAGGGTCCCAGGTTCCATTCCAGCCAAGGGCACATGCCTGGGTTGGGGGCTCGATCCTTGGCATGCAGGAGGCTGCCAATCGATTCTCTCTCATCATTGATGTTTCTACCTCTTTCCCTCTCCCTTCCTCTCTGAAATCAATAAAAAAGATATTAAAATTTTTTTTAAAAAGATGAGGACATTCTAGGAATATATCCCAAGAAACCAGAAACACCAATCAGAAAGGATATATGCACCCCTATGTTCATAGCAGCACAATTCACCATAGCTAAGATCTGGAAACAGCCTAAGTGCCCATCAGCAGATGAATGGATTAGAAAACTGTGGTACATCTACACGATGGAATACTATGCTGCGGTGAAAAAGAAGAAACTCTTGCCTTTTGCAACAGCATGGATGGAACTGGAGAGCATTATGCTAAGTGAAATAAGTCAGTCAGAGAAAGATAAATACCACATGATCTCACTCATTTGTGGATTACAGAGAACAACATAGATTAATAAACATGGACAGATCCAAAGACACAGAAACAGCGATCAGACTATCACTCCCCAGAGGGAAGGTAGGGGAGGGTGGGGGTAAGGGGAAGAGATCAACCAAAGGACTTGTATGCATGCATATAAGCCTAACCAATGGACATGGACAACAGGGGGATGAGAACATGAGGGGGGGGGGTTAATGGGGGGGATAAGGACACATTTGTAATACCTTAACTAATAAAGAATTTAAAAAAAAGATGAGGACATATAAGTGCTTTTTCAATTTTGTGTAGTTTTGTTAATCCTCACCCAAGGATATATATTTTTTTCCATTGCTTTTCAGAGTCGAAGGGAGGGAAGGTGAGCAAGAGAGAGAGAGAGAAACATGGACTGGTTGCATCCTGCACATTGCCCCTCCCCCAGGTGGGGGGAGTGAACCCACAACCAGGTATGTGCCCTTGACTGGGAATCGAGCCTGCGACTCTTTGGTGTGAGAGTTGGTGATCTGACCACTGAGCAACACTGGCCAAGGCAGAAGTATTTTTTTTTATTGATTTGTAGAGAAAAAAATATTGACTTGTTTCATTTATTTATGCATTCATTGGTTGCTCCATGTACCTGCCCTGACTAGAGATCAAACCTGCAACCTTGGTCTACTGGCACCACACTCTAACCAACTGAGCTACCTGGCGAGGGTCATAGAAGTATTCTTTATTTTTTTATTTTTTATTTTATTTTTTTAGTTATAGTCAGGTCTTTATTTAAGAATCTCATCTGCCAACTTAGCGTTTTCCACCAACACGGGGAGCAGAAACCTTCACAGGTTTCACAATCTTTTGCTTAGGTGCTGCCTTTGTGGGAGCCTTAGCAGCAGCCAGTGCTGTCTCTTTAGGCGCTTGCTTAGCCTTTTTTGCTTCCTTGGCAGCCCTGATAGCTTGTTCTTGCTGAGCTTTCCTAACTTCAGGCTTCTGGTTCCTCTTGGCCATTATATCAGCAAGAGATGCACCAGTGATGGCCCTCTGGAATTTGACTGCACGGCGGGTTCTTTTCTTTTGGATTTCTTCCGACTGGCCCTTTTTGTGCTTTCTCCTGTAGAGCACAGTCCAGTTTATCTGCCGAGGGTTCCTCTTGGAAAGGAATGCCGACTCGCATTTTGCATTAAGAAACTGGAAAACCTTCCCGTCGGTCCTGGCATAGCGCCGCCCGTGTCTGGGGTAGATCTTGTACCCACTGAAGCTGCACAGCTCGACCTTCATGGCTGCGGCCGCCAGAGAGCAGGAAAGAGGGTGAAGAGCATAGAAGTATTCTTTAAATCTGCTAGCACTACCCTGGCCGGTGTGGCTGAGTTGGTGGGGTATCATCCTGTGCACCAAAAGATGGTTGGTTCAATTCCCGGTCAGGGCTCAATCCCCAATAGGTGGCCTGCAGAAGGCAGCAGATGTTTCTCTCTCTCCCTCTCCCTTCCTCTGTCTCTAAAAATCAATTTTTAAAAATTAATTTAAAAACAAACTATGCTTTAAAAAATGTTGCTAGCACCTAAGTCATTGGTGACCTTGAACAATCTTGATGAAGTATTGAGAATGAGAGCCATCCTAGGGAGAGAAGTGGTATATTGTTTAGGGATACATACATATCTATAATAATAAAAGCGAAATATGCTAAGTAGACCGTACATCCTTCCAGACGACCTTCTAGATGAAGCTGGGCTGCAAGGGAAGCCCAAGTCCCGGGTGCCTGAGGGAAGCCAGTGCTGGCAGCCAGGGGAAGGAAGGCCTACTCTTGCACAAATTTCGTGTATCAGGCCTTTAGTCTATATATATAAAAGTCTAAGTGACTGTCCGACCAGCCGGTACATATGACGAGCACTGACCACCAAGGGGGCAGATGCTCAATGCAGGAGCTGCCAAGCTGTGTTGACTTGGCAGTGGCGGTTCTCAGGTGATGAACCCCAGAACCAGAGAGGAGGGAGCCCAATTCCTTTCAATGTGCACGAATCCATGCACCGGGCCACTAGTGTAATAAATAATAATAAAAATATGCTTGGCAATGCTAAACTCTAAGATTCAGGAGAGCAGTTGCCTCTGGCAGAGAGCAATGTGATTAGAGAGGAGTACTCAACAATATAGAATTTTATTTTTTATATGAATCATGGGTGTTCATTAGGTTATTTTCTATACCTCCTGAGTTAGAAGGGTGATGTAAATTCAGATCTATCCTCACCTTTTTTGCTTTTCTACATGTGGGTCCAGGTAGTTGCAAACTTACCTGCTGCTTCCCAAGACCAGTGTGAGTCCTTGGGGCACTTGGGTTTTGGTAGGGGCCTTATTTCCAGTTACCCAACCTTGGCAAATCCTGGTGAATTGCTGGCCAGCTGTGCATGAGAGATAAAGCTCCAGCCCTCAGAACTTGTTTCTGATTCACATACCCTCCTATTATAGAAATTTGAAGTCAAATTAATATTGAGTGGTCCAACAAAAACAGTCAAATACACAGGAAACTTAAAGTTCCTAAAGTTGAGAATTCCTTTTTGGGATTTCTCTGTCCCAAAAAGAACAGAGAAGTCAGAGCAGCAAGGGGAGTCGGCCCGAGAGAGGCCCATGGTCTGAGAATAATGAAACCCTAAAATCTTAGCAAATACAAAGCCATTAGGTTAGGGACACTTACTTATGCTAGCAACTATAGCATATTACCATGGACACATCACCACAACAGAGAGAAAAAAGCCCTTCCCTCCTCACACTGGTAAAAGAACAAAGTCAATATACAATCGGTATGCTTCATGATAAAAAAGATAGCAAGTATAAAAAGTAAGTCGTGAAAGGATAGAGCAATATGTGAAAAAAGACATTTCAAAATAAAGCAAACTGAAAAACTTTAAAAAATACAGCCACTGAAATTAAAAAACAAAACTCGACTGCAATTCCCAATGAAAAACATGATTCAGTGGATGCTAGGTAAGAGGTTACTGAGTTTAGGATGGTGCATGGTGACAGAGTGTTGCTCCACATTTTATTTCCATTAACAATTTGCCAAGGGAAAGCATACCTTTGAAAAAATGCGGCAATGACCACTGTAACCAAGTGATCAATCATGGCATCACTTGTAGTGGGGCAAGCTGCCATTATCTGTCTCCGAGTGCACAGATCATTCAGGAGATAATGATGCCAAAAATGTAGAACCTAAATCTAGCCCAGCCTTAGATTTAACTTCCTGTTGCAGACAAAGACAGGGGATGGAGGAACAAATTGAACAACACCATGGGGAATAATCAGGCAAATTTAGGATGCAGGGTGTTTTATAAAACATCCGCCCTGGTCTCCACAAAATCCCTATCAAGAGAAAAACAAGAATACTTACCTGGCAGGGGAGATACCAGGATCACAAAGGTGGTTTTCCCAGAGCGAGGCTTTCCCATTGCACTCTGGATGTACTGACCCCTGCGATTTCCCCGAATGTGGTAAACTCCACTGCGTAATTTGTGGTAGTGGGGGACTGCGTTCCCACTCTCCCTAAAAAAAGAAAAAAACAAAAGTACAAAGACTGCTCTAGATTAAAAGAGACTACCAACAACAACCAAATGCAGAGCATGAATCTTGCTTAGATCATGGTTTAAAAAAATTGATGCTGTGAATTTGTGGGAGAAAGTTCTTATTCCTTGGAGATGCACGCTGAAAGACATTTTTGGCACAAAAGTCATGAAGTTTGCAACTTCCAATTCGTTCAGGAAAAAAATAATGAAGGAAATCAGAACACATCACCCCCAAATATGCCTCTTTGATATAAGAATTACAAGTGTATTTTGCATTGAAGGCAATTAAGCAGCAAGTACAGGCAAAACTTCCTGCCTAAAGACAGGATATAAATTTCCTTTACTGGAGACAGGATTATAGATGGCAGGAGAATAATCTACCTCACACTGTTATTCTCTCTCTCTCTCTCTCTCTCTCTCTCTATATATATATATATATATATATATATATAAATATTTTTATTGATCTTCTCTCTCTCTCCCAATTTTTTTGAGGAGGCAACCAAATTTTTGGTGGCCTTGTTTCAACAAGGCTGAGAAAAAAATATATATTTTTTTAATTAAATTCGGAGAGGAAGGGAGAGGGAGAGAGAGATAGAAACATCAATGATGAGAGAGAATCATTGATTGGCTGCCTCTTGCATGCCCCCCTACTGGGGATTGAGCCTGAAACTCGGGCATGTGCTCTCGACTGGAATCGAACCCAGGACCCTTCAGTCCACAGGCCGACGCTCTATCCACTGAGCCTAACCAGCTAGGGTTTCCCTCATACATTTACCTTCTCAGTTTCCAGTCCTTAGAAGACTAAAACCATTTTCCTTTGTCCTGTCATTTTTCTACAAATCTATTGTTCTTTGTTGATGTATATAAAATCCAACTTTTAGCCACCTTTTGAATTACTCATCTCTGACTTTTAGCCACCTTTTGAATTACTCATCTCTGAGTTTGTTATATATATATGATATAGATGTTAATGAACTGTTTTTCTCTTATTTGTTTGTGTTTTTCTCTTGTTAATCTGTCTTTTGTTACAGCCCCAGCAGAGAAGCTAGAAGGGTAGAAGGAAAAAAGATTTTTCCTCCCCTACAATAACCTACACACAAATAAAATGTAAAGAAAAGATGTCACGCCCGGCCGGCATAGCTCAGTGGTTGAGCATCGACCTGTGAACCAGGAGGTCACAGTTTGATTTTGGGTCAGGGCAGGTGCCCAGGTTGTGGGCTTGATCCCAGTGGGGGTCATGCAGGAGACAGCTGATCAATGGTTTTCTCTCATTATTGATGTTTCTATCTCTCCCTTCCTCTCTGTAATCAATAAAGAAATATAAATTTTTGCTGTAGAAATATAAATAGTAGTTGTAGTAAACTAGGAATTGCCTGGCGCTTTTCTTAAGTTAAAAAGTGTTGTGTTTGCTCTAACCGGTTTGGCTCAGTGGATAAAGTGTAGGCCTGCAGGCTGAGGGGTCCCGGGTTCGATTCCGGTCAAGGGCATGTACCTTGGTTGCAGGCACATCCCCAGTAGGGAGTGTGCAGGAGGCAGCTCATCGATGTTTCTCTTTCTTTGATGTTTCTAACTCTCTATCCTTCTCCCTTCCTCTCTGTAAAAAATCAATAAAATATATATTTTTAAAAGTGTTGTGTTTGTGTTCTTGGCTGGACAATGCAGTAAAGGTGTTGTTACTAAAAAAAAAGGAAAAAGAGAAACCCACTTTATATATAAAAACACATACAGATGAAAAATAAATGGATGGAAATAGACATACCATGCTGATATTAATCAAAAGAAAGTGTGAGTAACTATGTTAACTTCAGGCAGAGCAGACTTTAGAGAGAGGAAAGTTACTAAAAATGAGATTTGTTTTAAAATAATCCAATAATCCAGTGGGCAAAAGGTGACTGACGACAGGTGGGGAGACAAGAAAATGATGGTCAGGAATTGGAAGGGCATCCTTGCCCTCAACTTCTGTTTGCTTGAAATTCTCTATTTAAGAACAACAATGACGAAGAAAAAGAAGTGAGGAGGGCTGGGTATGTGAGAGACTTTTTTAGTTGTGCTCACCAATGCCCCTTCCCTTCTGCCCCCCACCACCCCCTCCAGGGTCCTGGTGGATCATTACCTGCCCCAGTGCCTCAGTCCATAAATGGGTTGAAAAACAGAATGATTACAGCCAAAATGACAGGAGGAGCAACAAGACCAGAGTGAGGATTCATCCCAACGGCATCAGGAAGTGATAAACCAAGGAAGATTGAAAACAAGTGAGCCAGTTGTTTGTGACACACACTGTTGGTGGATAATCCAACAGCCATTCCCAGCCCCCTTCTTCCTTACTCATCTCCACATCGGAGACTGAAAACACCACATACTTGCTTTCCCAGATTCCCAAGCCATTAGAGTCGGCCATGTGCCAGTTCTGGCCAATGAGATGTAAGTGGGAGTGCTGGGGCTTCTGGGCAGGATGTGTTGTTTTCTAACAGAAGGGGGTGCTTTGCTTATAATATCTCATCCCTTTATTTCTTGCCTTGCACATGGATGTTCTGTCTGAGTGTGACAGCTGCCTTGTGATCATGAGGTAAGCTGATAGTCATCAGATCAAAACATCCCACACACTCAGGAGCCAAGGAGGAAGGTAGGAAGAGCCCAAGAAGGTTCCTGGCTAAACACCTGAACCAAGGCCAGCAGCCACCTACATCCACACTCCTCACTGTAACGCAGAACAAAACAAAGCAAACAAAACCCCACCTATTTGTATAAACCGCCTTCATTCACGTTTTCTTTAACCTGAAGCTGAAAGCATTCCTAAGTGAAAATATTTCTGATACCTTGCTCAATAATTTAGGAAAAAGCTACTGGAGATCAAACCCACAACCCTGGCGCATCGGGACAACACTCCAACCTGGCCAGACTGTTCATTAATTTTTTAAAAAATATTGTTACCTATGCCGTGTCTGTCCTTGTTTCCCCCTTTTCATTCCCTACTTTGTTCATTTGCATATTATATTTCTCTTTCTCTAAAAATAAATCAATGAAAATTTATTTAATAAAAACAATTAATGAACTTTACATCAATAAATTTCAAAACAGACAAAATGGATAAAATTCTAGAAAAAATGTGTAATATGTCAAAACTGGCATAATGAAGAAAAAACGTGAATAAATGAATATCCACTAAAGAAACTGGAAATGATAATTAAAAAATCTTCTGCCAAAATGTCCAGGAACATGCCAAACCGGTTTGGCTCAGTGGATAGAGCGTCGGCCTGCGGACTGAAAGGTCCCAGGTTCGATTCCGGTCAAGGGCATGTACCTGGGTTGCGGGCATATCCCCGGTGGGAGATGTGCAGGAGGCAGCTGGTCGATGTTTCTCTCCCATCGATGTTTCTGACTATCTATCTCTCCCCCTTCCTCTCTGTGAAAAATCAATAAAATATATTTAAAAAAAAAAAAAAATGTCCAGGAACAATTAGCTCCCATCTCATACCAGTAGTTTCAGCCATTTGGAAAAACATAAAACTGGATCCACAGATGAATAAACATATCTATAATAATAAAAGCGTAATATGCTAATTAGACAGGACATCCTTCCGGACGACCTTTCTAGACCAGTGGTTCTCAACCTTCCTAATGCCGCGATCCTTTAATACAGTTCCTCATGTTGTGGTGACCCCCAACCATAAAATTATTTTCGTTGCTACTTCATAACTGTAATTTTGCTACTGTTATGAATCGTAATGTAAATATCTGATATGCAGGATATATTTTCATTGTTACAAATTGAACATAAAGCATAGTGATTAATCACAAAAACAATATGTAATTATATGTTTTCTGATGGTCTTGAAGCCCCGGCTTTGTCTAGAACAGCGGTTCTCAACCTGTGGGTCGCATTCATGCACTCCATTATGCTCTGCTCGGGGCTCTCGGCCCTCCCTGGAATGTCAGGTACCTTCTTGGGCTCCATTATGCGCCCTGGGGGCTCTGGTCCCTGCGGCGATCTTCTCATTATACATCTCATGATGAGCGGCTCCCAGGAAACCCCCTCACCCAGGTTCCAGCGGACTGCCCACACCTGGCCCCTACCCGGACCTGGTCCCACTGGTTGCTCTGACTGACCTTTACGAGAGACGTAAATACCCCGCTCCCCCTGCTCTGCTGATGCCATTTTGGCCTCAGCCCTTCTGTTAGCAGATGTAATAATAAATTTAGAGTTCTTTGCCCCTTTTGGCCTCCTGCGTTCCTCCTTGGGCAACCTTAACGTAAAGAGAGGAAGGGAAGGGAGGGAGGGAGGGAGAGAGAAACATTGATCTGACAAATACCAATTGGTTGCCTCCCATACTTACCCAGACTGTGTCCCACAACCTTTTGGTGTAGGCCCTACACTGTAGGGAATCAACCAACTGAGCCACACCGGTAGGGCTCTTTATATATGTTTTAAATAAGAAAACTTTAAGTCTCTGAGTGTTAAAATACACCTTATGGATTGAATATAGAGTATACATGATGCTGTATTATAAAGTACATCTGAATTTGTTATACAATAAACTTACCAATGTTAGTTACAATAAATTTCATAAAAACCTAAAAAATAAGATTGCACCAAGCTGAAGAAACAAAAATAATCGTAGCACTGAGGGATTTGTATGGGGGAGAATAAACCACTTGACAAGAAAGTGTGAAGAGAGGTATAGTTCAAACGTTTTGTTTTGGTAACCCTTATGTACCTCATAGCATCCTCCCCTGCACAGAGGTTTTAGGTTGACGCCCCACCGTCTCATGTCCCCCGGTTTTGAGCTCGATCCCCAGTAGGGTGCGCACTAGCAAGGAAAGTAACTGATGGGTGCATAAAAAAAAGCAGGCACAGGTATTCGTACTTCTTAAAGTAACCACATTAGCTCTCCGACTACTACGAAGACAAACCACGATGGTGTTCACGAGCTTACCCTTTCTTTTTAACCAAGTAAAAACCGAAAGCCACTCAGAATGCATCCTCTCCCTCTTCTCCCCCGAGAGAGAGAAGAACGATCATCAATGGCAGGCGGCAGTTGCCGAAGCAACACCGAGAGCCGGCTTCACGCTCAGGAGAGAATGCTGCATCTCCTCCTCGTGGTTTCGGGTGCTCTACACGATCAGAGAAACTTCTCTAGTAACGAACTATAGAAATGATCCCTGAAAGTATAGTCTTAGCGTAAACACCGCCGCCTCCGCCAGGTCTACCGCCGCCGCACACTTTACAGTCATGGTGAGATAGTTTCCCTAGTTCTGATCCCACAGGCAAAGAGAAAAGCTTTCCAGTCTGTATAATCCTTCAGATACTATCATTCAACAATGATTTTTAACACTTAGGTGGAAATTAAATGTCCAAAGTTTTTAAAAAACGAACACCTCATTAACATAATACTGAACGACAGCCAATCACAATCTGTGTGGTGTAAGCCCAGGAGGCATCACTCAGTTCCGGTGAGGCGGCCCCGCCCCTGGAAGCTACCGGAAAGGGCGGGCTTTTTCTGTCTTAGAATCGAGCTGCTTCCTGTGATTGGTGAAACGTGCCGCGATGGCCGTCCTGAGTTTGACTTTCAATCGCGGGTGGATTTGAGACCGGTCGCCGTGGCTGTGGCTGGGGCGGGGAGGGGAACTGCAGCTGGGACCCAGCGCTGGGAGACACAATCTTTTGGTTTGTGTGTCATGTTTGCACTATCTGTTCACACCTTCTGAGTTCTTAAAGGTCGTTGGTGCTTTAACATAAAAAGAAGAAAAAGTAAACATTCATTGGAGATGCATCTCCTAATGAGATGAATAAACTATGTTTCAGTTGGTTCACATGGAGTAAGTTTGTCACTAATTCCATTCCTATTTTTGTTTTAAAAAGTGGGAGATTCTGATGCCAGAGGGACGCCGCTGAAATAAGCCTTTTTGGAAGTCGCCGTGGGAGGAGGGGAGAGGGTGGATTTCACCGGGTGCAGATGTTTCTTAGATCACAACGTCCGATGTCCCACCAGCCCGTCCTGAACGGGGCAGCTGGGCGGTGGGCCAGTCAGAGCAGGGCCAGTGCCCGGTTCCCGGCCCATGTTGCAGCCCGTGCGGTTCAGCGTTCGGGCCAGATCAGTGTCCATCAGTCCACGGCCGTCAGTCCACGGCCGTCAGTCCACCTCCGTCAGTCCGCGTCCGTCAGTCCACGGCCGTCAGTCCACCTCCGTCAGTCCGCGTCCGTCAGTCCACGGCCGTCAGTCCACAGCCGTCTGTCCACGCTGCAGCCCAACAGCCTGGTGCCTCGGCCGCAGCAGGAGTCCCAGGAGGGCCCTGCGCCCAGAGCCCGGAGTGAGTGGCTCCTTTGTAGAAGTTTGTATAGTTAGATTTGGGCTCGCGGTGGCCACGCCCGTCCTGGCCAATTATGTTTTCAGGTGTGATTGATGGGCAGGCATTTTCCCGCCTCACTCAGACCTGGACGTGTGTCTGAATTGCCTTTGCCCAGTCCCTTTCCCCACTGATGAGCAGGGAACAGACGTGGACAGTGTTAAATGTCGCTTTTGGCAAAGCTGGCAGGCCTGTATCTAGTCTTCCCTTTGATTCTTTCCTGTTAGGTAATAACTACATTATTATAACGGAATCAGTCTGAGCCCAGGCCAGGCAGCGCATACCCAAGGTTGTGGATTCCATCACCACTCAGGGCACATACAAGAATGATCCAATGAATGCACGAATAAGTGGAACAACAAGCCGATGTTTCTCTAAAATCAGTAAATAAATTTTTTTAAGTGGAAGATCTGAGGAAACTTAAATAACTAGATGGAAATTGGAATGTCACTTATGTCCTTTTGTTTAATGTCCCAGGTGGTTTTGTTACAAAAGTTCAGTGGTTCTCAACCTTCCTAATGCCGTGACCCTTTAATACAGTTCCTCATGTTGTGGTGACCCCCAATTTCATTGATACAAATTGAACAGAATTAAAGCATAGTGATTAATCACAAAAACAATATGTAATTATATATGTGTTTTCCGATGGTCTTAGGCAACCCCTGTGAAAGGGTCATTCGACCCCCAAAGGGGTCGCGACCCACAGGTGAGAACCGCTGCAATAGTTGGTTAGTGAGCCGAACCGATTTGGCTCAGTGGATAGAGCGTCGGCCTGCGGACTCAAGGGTCCCAGGTTCGATTCCGGTCAAGGGCATGTACCTTGGTTGCGGGCACATCCCCAGTGGGGGGCGTGCAGGAGGCAGCTGATCGATCTCTCTCATTGATGTTTCTAACTCTCTGTCCCTCTTCCTTCTTCTCTGTAAAAAATCAATAAATTATATTTTAAAAAAATAGTTGGTTAGTGAGATATTAACAAAAAGGAAGGGAGCAAGAACTGGGACCGCACCTCTCTTTTGCTCCTTTCTTCACCCAGCTTCTGCCAACTGCCTCTCTTCCCCACCCCTGCCGCCATGGCTGCCTGCCTCTGGCTGCGGCTGCCTGCCCCGTCCAGCTCCGAACTTCCTGGCTCTACTTTCCTCCAGACCTTTCCCTCTGCTCCCTCCCTGAGGACAGCAGGCCCACCACAGGGGCACCAAGCCCAGGGTTCCTTTCTGCTCCTGGCTACTCCGGCCCATACAGGCCCCGCTCCCCGCTCCTACGGGAGCTGCTGCTGCTCCAGGTCCCCAGAGCTGTGCTCTCGTTAAACATGGGAAATGGTGCCTCCAAGGCCGAAAATTCCAGACCCCAGCCCTCATTAATCCTCCTGCAGGTATACAATCAATAGAAAGCCTTTCTTTACTTTCAAGTACTTTCAGAAATAGGAAGGTTTATATCAAACCACTTGGGAAGATAATGATTTTAAAAGAACCTCCACAAGAGGAAACTAGTCTTAAGACTGACTGAACATTTGTTCATTTTCCCCACAACTCCGGCACCCTCTCATTCCCAGGGGTACCCGGCAATTTATGATCTTCCTAGAGAAGGCCAACAGGATTTGCCCCCAGGGC